GCGATTTTAATGCAATAACGCATGATCGCATTGGCAAGCCTGATGCCTTCCAGCCAGGGTTTTTTTTCAAATTAGCTTTGGTTGAGCCGGTAGCATTGCATTTTTTATTTGCGTGAAATTTCTGCACTCTAGCACGACTGATCATCGTGATATGTGCATGTAAGAGAGACTTAGGCATGTTTTAGAACTCATTTAAAATCTTTAAGTTGCCTATAGATAGAGAATACCGTCCATAAAATTTAAGCTTCCTTGCTTCTCTGGTTGCTGAATTGTGCTGTTTGGAGAAAATAGCGTTATCACTGCCGATTTCTGTTAATCTCCCCCACATGCCGCTTCTTAACATTCTGTTTACTTTGTAAACGAAGAGGTGGCGCACAGAGCAGAATAGGCGGTGAGTACTAACTAGAGGCATGCAGATCAGGATCAATGGGCCTGACATAACTGCATTCGGCATGTGAGGACATCGCATACCCAAAGAGGATGCACATGCTAATAGCCCGAGCAGTTTTGATATGCTTTGTATTTCGTTTATCGCAGAATTCAGTAGTGTTCAGAAACGTACTTGGGTGAACTTTACTACTTTATGCCACTGCATGGTTTTGTGGTAGAATCGTTAATGAGTCGCAAAAGTAGATTCAGGAGTCCTGTGATGGGATTATGGTTTGGGATTTATCGCAAAAGCTGTTTTTTGGGCAAAAATGTCTAGAACAAGAATGGTAGGAAATCAAACTTCTCAGTGCTGCAATCTTTTTTGGATCCTTGAGAGTGCTGTGTGGCCATTAGATCACTGAATCTTGAGGTCCAGCACCTTTTGTTGAAGCTTTATAAAGCATATGCAGCATCCTTGATTTCTCTCGCCCTCAGGGAAGACGAAGCTGATGTTCGCATAAGGTACTAGTTTTATTCATTAAGCAGTAAATAACAGAATCGGGTTCTGGCTTGAATTTGTTCAGATGATGAGGAATTTTTAGCTTGAACTAGATTTTGTGACGAGCAGCTTGAAGCTTTAGCCCTGTGATGGGGAAGTTATGGTTTGGACCTGAGTTTGTGACGAGAATGTTCCGATTTGGGTTTAATTTTGTTCGACACTTTAAGTAGACATATTTATTTTATGCGAAACTTTTAAGCACGTTACATGTGTTGAATAAGCAAATTCAACAGTATATCCAGCAAACTTGAATGTTGTTTTATCTAATAAAAATAAAAACAGCTGCCTGAAAGAACTTCCTAGGTCTTGCGAAGAATAAGCTGCTGAGGTATCATGGCTAAAATTAACATTATTGAGAATGGTTTTAATTGAGAATTCGAAATGAAATAACTCTTGAAGCTTTGATACAAATATTAGCTGACAAAACAAAATTTAAAGTTGAACCTCTGAAAAAGATGCTGGATTTGATGATTTGCCCTTTGGTACCAGTTTCCGGATAATCCCTTAGCTTCACTTCTCAGCGGTAAAGTTAATAAAAAGCAAAATTAATAGTGTTGTTTCACTGGTATTCGGATCTCATAAAATACCGAGTCTCTAGAACGGTCCAAACAATCCTCACAAATTTCGCTTATGAGAAAGGTAATTGCGGACCGGGGTTAGAATTTATTACTACGGCTGCAAGGGTAATTGAGGCGCAGATTCGATACATGAGGCATCATTGGGATACGTCCCACACCTAGATGCGATTATGTCAATCTCATATCTGATGTGAGGTGAAATATCAGGTTTCACCACTTAAAAGTCAAATAACCGCGTGGTCATTTTTTGAGTTGACACTTCTCTGATTCTGAAATCGAGTCTTTCCCTTCTAGCAAAACGAACTGAAGATCACTTCTGAACAACTTCGAAACGACTATAAATGCATCAAAAGTTGAATAGTATCGACGCGATAATGCATTCCTCGAATTACCATCGGCGCACAAATCGTAACGGGTTTCGTCTCATTATATCATTCCAGAAGCAGCTTTTCATACTCTCAAAGCGTTCGTAGCAGCTCACATAAGTGTAATCCAATTGGGTGATATTGCCCGGACGTTGGTCACAGAATATCAAACATTTCTCGCCGGCTAGCGTCGCCCCAACACCTTAAATTATTGTGAACAGTTTTGCCCTAGCCAATACCATTTTGTCGTGTAAATAAGGCGTTTTTCGATTTATGCGCTTCATGACTAGTAGCTGCATTTTGACCTCATAACCAAAGAAGCAGTAAGAAGAGAATCGAAGATTCGCCAGGAACATCAGAGCATCCGGTGATGCAGCAGCGGTCATAACAGCTTCTAGTACTGGACATGTCAGCCAGAAGCAGCAATACTTTGGGTAATTTCGCAAATGAAATCGGCTTTCACCTTTCGTTCCCAGTTAAATACAAGTCATATACGTAGCACCTAAATTCATCTGTACAAGGTAAGTAAGATCTCGAATCACACGAAGCAAGTAGGCTTGAAAATTCAAAAACGAAACAGCTTCCCGCAATTCACTATCTTTGAGAAGCGGCATCATTCAGAAGTTTTAAGCAAAATAAATTATAGCGTGTTTTAAAGCAAGCGTCTGTCGTTGAGGCTTTCTCTTCGAAAATAAGTTAATAACAGTTTTGATTCACTGGCAAAGCACAAGCCCGAAAAATACCTCACACATTGCCATAAAAGTTACTGAAGCAAAACTTTTTTTAACTAATTTTTCTCAGTGTCAAGAAAACACGACAAAATACAGTATCAAGATGGCACCATTTCCGGAGGAGGTGCGTGGCGTTTGCGCAGCAAAGGCCTCAAAACGATACATCTCTTCGTTTCAAGATTTGGTTTTGAATGTGTCTACACCTGTCAGTTTTGTTTAATTTGCAGATCTTTCAAGTTTTTTCATCCAACAGAAGCAAAAAGAACTTTTTCAGCCATGAACATTTTAATTTCTGATCAACAGCTCTCCAATTGAACTGAATCCAGCTGCTTCAAGGCTGCCTGTATCGAAACACTACAGATACCCCCTAAGCTCGGGCTGCTCCGAACAAGTACCAAAGCGATCTTATGCTCTGGAATGACTTTAAGTGGCAAGCGCCTCTGACAGAACCTTATCCACAGCCTTGGTTTTTCAGGCGATCAAGAAGTTGGAATGTTTACATTTGAGATACTAATCTCCGCTAATGTGGAAGAATATTTCTTCAGGATCTGGGAACAGCAAAGTTTGGTGATGCTTAATGAGTTGGTGATGTTGGTGGAGTTGGTGATGCTTAATACATAATAGCAATACCTCACAACATGTAAAGCTCCGCCAAAATGCTTTTTCCAGGAGAATTACTGAGCTTGTACTCCGTTTAGGAGCAGTCCCCTCGGGCTAACAATAAGGAAATACAGCAAATAATCAAGGCAGCTGAGCCGCCACATATGGAGATGATCAAAGTATGATTTTACGTAGTTTGTTACTGAAACGCAAAATTTTAATTTGCTTAAATTTTGTAAATAAAAATTTAGCATCCATACGATTAATGACTGTGAGAGGCAAAGAACAAACGTGCAGATAGCTTCCTGGTGTGCGTATGTAATGCAGAAGAACCCATGCTGGAACTCATCGGGCTGGCCAGTGCAATCACGCGTTGAAGCACTCAGGTCATTAACGGCATGAATGATAGCTGCTTTACGCCTACCTTTTGCGGTCACTAGCATAAATCACCGTAAATTTTGCATAAAGAATGCGCAATTTCTACTTAACAGTCGTTCTTTAAACGAAACCTAGCTATTCAGTGAGAAATTTTTCTGACAAAACTTTTAAGTGTTATAAGTGAGAACCACGCATACCCGAAAGCTGGATTTGAAGTATTTAAGTTGTATTTGGACAGAGAACATTCTCCTAAAATTTTAGCGTTCCAGCTTTTCTGGTTCCCGAGTTAGTAATTTTCCCGCTAAAACTTTCACATACCCATACATGGGTAAACCAGATACTTGGGGACCTGAATTTGAAATTTTTAAATTGCATGTGGACAGGACACATCTTCCTAAAATTTCAGCGTTCCAGCTTTTCTGGTTGCCGAGTTAATAATTCCCCCGCCAAATTATTCACGTGCTTGTGCGGAACCATGCACATGAAATCTATAGCTAACGCATGCACAGGGAATATACCTACAAAGCTTCAGCTCCTTACTTTGTCTGGTTCCCAAGACCGCTTTCTGGCCAAAAAATTTGCATACTTTTTTAAAGCGTCCGTATGTGACATCCAGGCGTCCGGGACGAGTGATATTGAAACGAGAGGGTCGCGCATGGGATGGATACATATTCCCAAAGTTTCAGTCTTTTAGCTTTTCTGGTTCTCGAGTTGAAAGTGGGTGACGAAGAAGTGCGAACACACAGACAGCCTTTTCCCAATATGCGTTTTTGCAATTTGCATATGTGCATAAAACGCATAAAAAGAGATGCGGTTTATGGTAAAGTTATTCCTGGCGTGTTTGGCATGTCAGTAATACCACTAAAATCTGAACAAATATGGGGACAAATTATGCACTGCTTGTATTATGTTACAAAATTATCCCACACTCGGGCAGTAGCAGTTCATTTATTTTCGAACTTCATTCATTTATGAAGTGCTAACGTGTGCTTTCAAATCACACTCGCGCTCTAAAATTTATTGAAAGTTTATGCCAAAAAACCCCAGGCCGGGAGGCATCACGCTTGCCGTTGCGATTATACGTTTTTGCATTGGACTTGAAGTACTCAATCGTTAATTGCATGAATGGTTTTTGTTTAACACCTATCTTTTACACTCACTAGTGTAAATCACCGTAAATTTTACATAAAGGAGACGAACAATTTCGGTTTAACGGTTTTTCTTTGAAGGTGACCTAGTTGTTCAGTGAGCAGTTTTTCCACTAAAACTGTTAAATGCTTGTGCGTGAGGACCACGCGTACCTGGGGCCTGAATGTGAAATATTTAAGTGCTACTTGGAGGAGAATATTGTCCTAAAATTTCAGCTTTCTAACTTTTCTGGCTCATGAGCTAGCAATCTTCTCGCTAAAAATTTTTCCGGGCCCGTACGTGAGGACCACGCACCTTTGAGGGGGAGGCGAGTGGGGGCGGAGGAGGGCGAGGAGGGGTTGAATTTGAAATCTTTAAATTGTATGCAGGCAAGGGACATACTCTCACGAGTTAGCCTTTACCCTACCAAAACTTTTGCGTGCTGGTACTTGAGAACCACGCATTCCTAGGGACTGAATTTGAAAACTTTAGCTCGCATACGTACAAAGAACACTCTTGCAAAAAGTTCAGCCTTCTGTCTCTTCTGGTTCCAGAGATCGCTTTCTTGCCAAAAAATTTGCGTATTTTTTTAAGAGGTCTGTAAGCAACACCAAGGCCTATGCGGCGCGGGGATAATATTAAAACAGGGGGATCGCACGTGGTGTAGGCACATACTCTCGAACTTTCAGCTTTCCAAGTCGAAAGGGAGTGACAAAAAATGCGAACACACAGACACAGACACA